ACACATTTTAGTGACAGTACCTACTTGTGTTAACCAATGATAAAAAAAGTTGAATAAAAATATTTTAGAGTAACATTTAGCAATATAGCAATTTTTTATTTTATGAACTATTTTGAATGAAATTAAAAATAAAAAATTGTCATAGAAAGATGAATGGCTTGTTCCTACTTCAGAATTAATTAATTTACCAGATAATAAAGTGACTCTGTATTTGAATAGTTTAGAATCAATATCAAATTTGAATATTTTCGATTTTGTATACGAGATTGGATGCACTGAAAAAGCATATACATTATTACAGCCTGTCAATTTTACGTCATAAAGTCTTCAAGACGTAAGTGACAATGTAAAGAAAATGTATTATTTATATCGATTAATAACAAATTATAAAGAATTTTCATTGAAGATGATTTTTTTTTATTTATTATGTTTGTCATGTTTGTTTTAAAATAATATTGATGTTGAAAACAATATTGGCAATGTTAATGTAGGTAACAATATTGGTAAAAATGAAACCATTTTAATTTCAAAAAATGATAATGTTCCTTTTTTAATTGAAACTAACAAAAATGAAAATGATGGAATCGTTACAAATGAGGTAAGTATCTATATTTTACAGATTTTAAATTATTATTCCAAATAAGTTGAAGACGGATATAAAGGATGAAGATAGGAAGAATAAATTCTTGTACAAGACTAAAAAAATATTATTTAATATCTAGTAAAATTAAAGGTTAAAAAGTCTTATCTTTATTGTAAATCTATTAGAAACACATTTTATAGAAAACTAGATGAGAACACATACGTCAAAAAAAATATTTAAAGTGGCATGTCGTGTTTTGTAGTTAGTTTCATGGAAAGGGGGAGACAGTGAATAACATGTAGGTACTTTGTCCCGGTGGTGGGAGCTGTCGTTTAACCTGTCAAATTCAAAATAACGTTTTACATCGATGGAGTTTTTCGTCTTAGCTGAAAATAAAATAATTTACTTCTAGACGTCTATAACAATAAAAAAACTCTTCAGTGGCGGAGCAAGACCTAAATTTTATGTGGGCAAGATATATTTTTGCAAGGACCTCTGGAGGCGCAAGAAGACGTATTTTATATAGATAAATAACATTGAAACTTGTATAAAAAAAATGCTAACAACTCTTAGACTTGAACTAATATTTTTAAGTAATTATTACTAGCAGTAAAGAATTACAGAAACATAAATTTCCTGCTTTTAGCTTTACTGAACTCTTGTACCATAATCCAGATTATATATCTGCTTCAATAGATAAAATTGACAATGCTAAAGTCTTTGCTGGCCCATTGTACTTCTTAATTTTATATTAGTTTTAATTTTGAAAAGCTCCTTTCAGCAGTTGTACTTACTTGTACTGTTAACAAAATTTGAATAACAATATAAATATTTGGATACATTTCTTTCAACTTATTTTCTATTATGTATTGGAGCAGCTGTTTTACACCTTTATTGAAATCAGGTAAATTTAGGATCATTATTTGTAAATCTTCATAAAATTCGTAAGGTTTTAAATCACTACTCTCACCCACTCGAGAACAGTCCACTTTAAATAATTTTAAAGGTGATGCTTTTAAAAACAAATACAAAAATAAGTCAAAAATCATATAAAGGGGGACGTCTTAGGAAAGAAATAGAAAAGAAAAAAAAAAGCGAAACGTAAAGAAAGATAGCGCAAACAAAAACGCAAAAGACGCACCTTTTAAATGATTTACTTTTCACCTCTAGAATCGAATATTAGAGGAGAATAAAAAAAAGTAAACCAAATCGGAACGTTTTGTTAAATATAATAATTCGATTTTTAGTTTTTAATATAATTATATTGTTTTATAAATAAAGTAGTTTATTTTTAATATTCTTGCATAGAACGATTGCCAAAAAGCAGTTTTGAATTGACACACTATATGTGCGTAATAGTTTAAATATTTCTCTTTAACGAGCAAAACTTTTAAAGGTTCTAACCATAAAACCATTTTTTTTTTTTACTTATTTTAGTTCAATGGACCGGTTTACTTTTTATTTAATATTTATTCCTTTCAATCAGTGGATTCTCACATCAAAATCTGTTTATACAAACAGAAAACAAAATAAGCGAATATATGGCCATTTACAGGATTTTACCAATGTAGCATACCTACTTAGTAAAAATTGTAGTTTGTGCAACAAGAGTAGATATGGACAATCAACTTGAGTCGTACAGTATATTTTTTCTACGACCCACTAACAAAAATCTACAAATTTAAAAAATTATTTTAGGTTGTTAAGCCAAAATAATTAATTTTAAAATAATTAATGAATTTTATTAATTTATAAATTAAAATAAACTTAAAAAAAATTGTCTCGAGCACGAATTCAAACCCGAGCTATTCGCGTGAAAAGCAAATGCTCTGCTCACACCTCCACGGCCACTTTTGTGATTTTAGTTTTAATACTCTTAATTAAATTAGTTTCATAAAGATTGATAAAAATTTTCAAAATGTTAACCAAATAATACTAAAAATTATATTATTTATCGTTTCTACACAAAAATAACTTTCATTTTAATATATATTTAATCTTAATAACCAAAAAATATAATGGCAATTAGTTTGACAGAGTTAAAATAATAATGGTTGGGTGTCTAAAATATGAACTATGATTGGTAGATTTAATTTTTTTGCAGTCTTCTCACTACCTAGAATGGATATGAAATATATTCGTTTAGTTGAACGCAATAGCATAATTCGTTATTCGTTGTTTTTTATATTAAAGTTAAAATAGAGAGTGTTTGAAAGTTAACATTCTTTTATATAATTTTTGCTTACATATAGGTAGGTCAGATGTGAGAATAAATATTTTTCATAAGTTAAAGACAGCTGCATTAAACTTTTGAGGCGCGAGAACCTTCAGGCCGCGACGCCGTAGACGGTGGCCCACGTCGCCCACGCCTTGCGCCGCTTCTGAAACCCTTTTTAAGCATTTTTATCGTCGAGTTTTGCTACTTTTGGTGTAAGTTTAGATATTTTCTTACATCGATAATAGCAAAACTAGACGGCGCAAAGGATTTATTTATTGTTATAGACGACTAGAAGCAAATTATTTCATTTCCAGAAACAAATTAAAAATTCCATCGCTGTGAAACATTATTTTAAATTTGACAAGTTAGACGAGAGCTCATACCACCGGAACAAATATTTATGTTGTTCAACCCTCTCCTGTACCAAACTACCAATAGCAAGCAAAAAACACGACATAAAACGGTCGCCTAAAAAAAATATTGTATGCACCTCGGCCGTACGATCATTTTTGGTCTAACCAGCTTGGCCAGGGACGCAAATTTCCAATTCGGTTAAAAAATATCAACTTTACGGCCTTGGTACACAATTATAACAACGGTAACAATTATAATTTTTATCTGTTTTTATTTTTTTGATAATTATTTGTAATGGGATCAACTTGGAGGTTTAGTTTGTTATTTATTGAAAACCCTATTTACAAAACAAAGAAAATTGTGTATCTATTTAAGTAGATCCATTTTTGAAACATATTTAAACGTTACTCAAGATTTGAGACATTAAAGATATTAAAATATTAGTGTTCTGTACAAAACTAGAAAATTTCAAATTATCTTAAAAGTCTTACAATAAAAAGTAATGGTTAAATTTATTTTGGGTTCCAACAGCTGATGCCTGGGATGTTAAATCCTATTCATCAACATTTTATGTACCTGCTATGAAAAACGAGTAGGGCCTCAGCACACGAACAACGTTGCCATATTTAAGGGACTCGGAATTGACAATAAATAAATAAATTTAACGGATATACGAGAGCCTCGCATTGGCAATAGAAATTATATACAAAACGCTCGGAGTGCACCCTAGTAAGAAATATAATGAACTAAAAACCGTATAAGAGGAGATATACACATTACATATGAGTCCAAAAAAAAAAATGAGATTGTTGTTTTGGGGGGTTGGGTGATGAAAAATAGCTCTATTTACACGTGTTTGACCTGCGAGGCCCGTTTTCGGGCCTCGCATGTGAAAACCGGGCCTCTAATAGTATCTTGCACATGTATTTATGGGTCTCGTATGTGACAACTATAAATCTATATATATATATAAAACATTCTAGAATCTCTGTATCGCAAACTGATGCCGACTTGAATTAATTTTCAAAAATTGTGGGTCCTAAGTATATAATGGGACAATATAAATTTGGTTAATTCTGCGAAACAGTCTGCTAACAAGCATAATGAAGTTAAATCTTTGCGAAAATTACACTTTTGTTCAGGATACGGCAGACTATTATCGAAAACTACAAGAAATTGGTTTGATGGTCACAACGTAACTGTTCTTTCTTGGCCTGTCCTGACCTTAATGTCATTGAAACAGTATTGCATAAAACGAAGGAGATATCAAATAATAAGCCACAGCGGACATTACCAGTACTGAAAGCCAAACCACAGCAGATTTGGAATGGATTTTTCTGTGAAAAGTGCAGATCCTTAGTTGTTTCAATGCCCAACCGAAGAAAATTATAAAGTTTTAACAAATGCCAATAAATATTGTTTTTTTTTACTGTGCAGCCCTCCTAAATTTTGTTTGAAATTGGCTCACGATCCTAAAGATGCTGCCGACCCTTACGCATATATGCGGTCCTCCAATTGAATGCCGAATTCAAAAATCAATATCTTAGCAAACCCTCTATACAGAAAAAGAAACAAGACAGATTCGTAAATAAAAAAGACATAATTTACTTTTTCAACAATATCGCCCTTCTTTTTGATTGGTTAAAATTTAACAAATTAATCACACGAGTGAAAAGGTTTAAATTATTAAAAAGCAGTAATTATTGAAAATCTTGACTAGCTGAGCTGTTATCACTTTCTTTACTATTATGTCAATTATATATGTTGTTGGGCATATTTTACTTTCATGGCTAAGCTCGATTTAAATGAGATTAGAACACAATATAATTTCAATAAATTAAATACCTTATACTATTCTCCGTTTCAGCCCTTAAAGTCAACATAGCCTTAATACGATTGACAAAATTGATAGGATCTTCTGCGTAAAACATAATGTAAAACCTGGGCAATCGGTAAATTTTTTGTCTGCCATCTAACGTCAGAACTGTCCATAATTTCGTATCCGAATCGTAATCGGTAACAGCTACATTTACCCAATCGTACATGTTTTCTAAAACGACCCTAGGGAATAGTTCGCTGTCTCCAGTACCTTCCATGCTTACAAAGCCTACAGCTGGCAGTGGATGTCTTACGTTATCAATTATTCCGTGTTCTAGCCAATTCTCAGGTGTCCTGCAATAATTTACTGTTCAAACGAAAATTTTCAACACTTAGTTAATTAATTTTTTTAATCAAACTTAGCATAGAAGAGCTATAAAATATCTGTTTTTTATATTTCCAGAAATATCGCGATTTGATAACGAGAATTATTCCATTGGATACTCATTAATTAATAAAATTCAAAAAAGTACCTGTACTACCTCTTTTCCTGAGCCAAATACTCGGCACTGCCTTTTTGCAGCTTCAATTCTCGACACACTTCCATCACGTGATAACGAGTTAAAGTCGTGACAGCGACATTTGTTTGTATTGAAAATTACAATCCTAATAATTATTTGTAAAACTACCTTTTGAACCTCTTATTGGTTCCCTAATTTAATATACTTTTCGAATATCAGTAATATACATGTTAGATTCTATTAATTATTAAGTCAAATAATTATTTAGTTACCAAGTGATTACAGATAAAACACAATGCCAACAGCAACGACAGCTGATCACACTAGACATTCTAGGCGACTCAAATCGTTGCCTGGAGGAGCGCTGACGACGATCCGCTACTACCGCCTCAGTTCCCCGAACTCCCCGCTTTTGACTGCCGATGTTTTTTACCGTACTACTATTAACAAAAAAAATTTTATCTGCTAACATACAGGTTTATTATTTACCATCATAATTTGATAGGTATTTATTTGGGTAGGTACATTTTATTCCATTTATATCCGTAAAAAAAGTAAACTATTGAGTGAACCACATTTAAAAATGTTTCTAGTTATTGGTACCTATATTGTTTATCATATCGGGTTCCGCGAAAATAATTTTGAACAGAAAAATGTTCATATCTAATTGAATTATCCCCTTCAAAAGAACATTTATGAGGCAAAATAACTGTTTGGCTAAATTAGTTGGGTTGATAATTATTATTTTGGTATTGTAAGTTCGTTTGATCTTGTAATTTTCGGGGCAATGATATAAATTTCCTGTGGCGAGGCGCGTTTAAGAAATTGTGCCAGCAACTAAGCTCCAGCTAAAAGGCGGCACATGTTGATATTAATGTATGCCCTTTCGATTGCATCTTGTTTTAACTCATTATGACGTGTCGAGAATTTTGACTGCAAAAAAGGCCGTGCCGAGCATTTAGCTCAGGAAAAGGGGTGGCACAAGTACTTTTTTGAGCTCTAATAATCAATGGATATCCGATGTCATCTTTCGCTAATTATTGAATCGAAAATGCCATTGTTTTAACCACTTTGCTCAGCATAGTGATTGATATAAGTGCGTTTGATAAAGTACAATGTTTTTTCATGCCTTCTGAGCACATTTCATTTCGTTTTCAGATGACGGCCAAAACTGGCAGTTGGCTCCCCTACTGAAACAACAGTGTCAACAAGTTGATCCATGTTCCTATGACTAGGTTTTTTCTATGGGATTAATTTTATTACTGACTTTTGCAGATTTTTTTTGTAAGTTAACTTAAATATTAATTTCACGCAAGCGTTATTAGATAGGTACATACGTGTTAGATCATTGTTTCAAGTACAATTTTACGAATTTTAGTAGGTACCTTAGATAGTTTACAAATAATTGTTACTAATAATTTTAAAGTGATAAATCGACAGTAGTTCCACACAAAAATATTGTATTTTGAATATGACTCTTTAGTAATAGCGAAAGAAAACAAAATCTCAGTATTACTTTTCGGTATGTCGATGAATAAAGATGCTTGAGCAAAAAAAAAGAAAATCTGTGATTTCAGTTTTTCCTAACGAACTTTTTGGCCAAAATTATTATACTCCTTGGAGACAAAATGAACAAAGAAATTCCCAGGTAGTTTAATTTTTCCAACCTTATATCGTATTCATCATCATCGAATATGTCCAATGGTAGAAAACTTAACCATGTTTTATCCTCCGTATACGCTCTTAACAATTCAATGGGTAATAAATCCTTCAAAGTAATATTGTTTTTTTCCAAAACTGTTTTTAACTCTTGGCTCTAAAAGAAAACATCACTTTAGTTAAAACAACATGATTAATAAAAGTTTGGTAGGTACCTGATATTCTCGACGACGTCTTTCAATCGCAACACTCCTCGGGAGTGATTTGGGCTCAACTGAATGTTGTAGCTGAACTTTCGGCTTAAATGTATCCACTGGAAAGCTCTACAAAGTGATGATAAAGTTACAAAAATATGTTGCGAGTGTTAGAGACATATTTGAAATGTAATAGAACCTAAGTTAATAGAACGTAAGTTATTCAACAAAACATATTTTCTGCAGCCATGCCGATATTATGTAACAAGCATTAAACGTGACATTTTTCGCATATTTTAATAGTAGAGGTTTTTAGGCGATGGCTTTCAAGCTTAAAATTATTTGAGTATTGGAAATTGTAGATAAGTGAAATATTTTGAAAAGAATAGTTTTATATACATAGTAAAATGTAAATACGTTAACTGTAGGTATGGGATACTTATATGATTCGAAATCACTAATTTTTAATGAATCTATAACATATCATTATCTAAATTTTATATATTACGAGAGAATTTAAGAATGAAGTACAAAACCAAATTATCTTAATTCTTTCAGATAGCCAAGCAGTCGTAAAGGCACTTAGTTCAAACAAAAAAAACTCTAAACTAGTTAGGAACTGTCTTGAAATTCCTAATGATCTGGTAACACACAATATGGTAAATTTAGAGCGGGTACCAGAACAAAAAGATATCCAAGAAAATAAAAAGGTTGATGAACTCGCCAAAGGGAAATCAGAATTATTACCATTCATAGGATTCTAACCTGTATTTTGGATAAGCAAAACCTCTCGACAGGCAGTGAACAAGTGGATATTAACCAAACGCCAAACGCACTGGCAACAGAAAAGAGGACACAAAATGAATAAATTCGTGCTAAGGGGACCAAACCCACGCATGGTTGCTGAGGTGCTACGTATAGACTGCATGGAAGAGGAAGAAACCTTATAACATGCGAAGCTCTTGATGGAACAGACTCACCCTTTTCGGTCCAGCACCGGAAGGAACGCCCCAGGAATGCTTGGTATGGAACTTAGTAAAACAAACCAAAGGTACAAGACTATTCAGATATAGTACCTGAATATGGCTAAAGCAGGAAAATAAAATAAACCCAAGAAGCCGCGGAGTTCTGAACCAAATCTAACCCTACCTGCTTATAACCGACAAAGGTAAAGATAAATAGAAGCCTCATACCATCGCGGAAGAACTTATTGTATCGGGTGCTGCAAATGTGGTGAGCAGCAATATTGGTGGGAAGCTGTTTTTTAAAGTGCCTTTTTCGAATAACGCAATAAGTCGGAGAATACAACATATTATGTTTATTTCTGAATATATCAACGATCAATTAATTGAAAAAATTAAAGCAGTGGAATTTGGATTGTAGTTAGAACTACAGATAATAATAACGATGCTTATTTGATATATGTATGGTTTATAGATGGTATTAATATTAAAAAAAAGACCTTTTGTTTTGTAAAAATGTCACAGCAGGAGCGAAGGCTCAGGACCTGTTATAAATTCTTGAAAAAAATTTGAATTGGGCTAAGGTCCGGTTTGCTCTTAAGCATCAACGTTAAATATTTTTAAATATTGAGCATTTTTTAAGATACTAAATATAATATATTTATACAAATGAATATCTGTTGCAACCACAGGTAACAGAGGAGGCATGCATTGTCATCCTTAATAACACTCCCAAAATGTGCATTAAGAAACATAAAACATTCCATTTTGCATTATACATTACAGGTAATTGTCTGAACCAAGCTAATTTTAAACAAACCTTATTATTTATGATGTAGTAGGTATAATCCAGAGTTGGGTAAAGTATCCGGATGCCGTATCCGAATATTTTATTAAATTGAAATCTGTATCCGGGTATTTTTAAAATTTTGTATTCGATATCCATGTGACTAAATTTGTAAGTAACCTGGTACCGCATACTTTTTCGATGTTCGGATACTTTTTAATTATTATTCGACAAATGCGTCCGATAATATATCGTATCACACTTTCGTATTTTGAACAAATCTATATAATAGAAAATTAAAGTATTTTGTTTAATATTACAATATGTAAGACCCAATTTGAAACATTTAGGGCCGATTTCATAATGAATATTTAAAGCTCCATTAACTGTGACCTACATCGCCAATGACGAATTCTATGATTCACTCAGCATCAAAGACTCACTGGCAACTTTTTACAGGAAAAATCCTACAAAGTCGTGTCTAGTACTGGGACCACGAACTTGTGAATGTTTCTAACTCATGTATCTTTGAGACTATGGTTTAGACAAGATACTTTTTTGAATGGTTTTTGTTTCCTTTTTGCATTGTATTGCTCACATATTTGGATAGAGGGGATATGAAATGTCATTTTCATCAGGCACGTAGAATTGAAAGCGACCTTCTTTTAACAAATAGTGACCTACGCACTTGCACATTGATTGCATATTAAAGTGTACAGGATAGGAGTAACACATTTAAACATAATTCGAACATATTAAGGATTTAATTACACAATAGAACTAATAACCATAAAAATTCGTAATAGAATTTTATTTTTTTACGGATTATAAGAGATTTCTAAAAATAAAAAACATAGTCTTTTTTGAAAACTTTATTTAAAAATAAATAAAAACAAAATATATTTAAAATACCATTTCATATAAAATGAATATAACAATCCAAGGCCGTAATATATTTTATAGCAAATAAATCTGGAATCACGTGTACTAAACAGAACTTTCATATTAAAAACTATCATTTTGTATGTAAATTATTACATTGCTCATATCTTGAAAGTATTTTATTTTATATAAAAATTACAAAATGAAGGAATTCAAATGTATTTGTAATATCGTTCCACAGTACTATGGCATGCACCTGAGCATACATTAAGAATCATCAATAAAATAATTAAGAGATTATGGGCATATTCTTTAGTAAATTTAAATTTAAAACTATTATCAGAAACATCTAGCCAAATATTTTGTTAAAAAAGGAAAATAAATCCAAACTTAAATGTGACCAAAACGTAAAATAAATGAAAATAAGAAATTATCTATGCCATGTGTTACAAAATAAAAGCTACCGGTTCCCTTTACAAAACAACTACTCCTTTGGCTAATTCTGCAACAGACATTGAATTATATCCAAAGAAAAACAACAAAGTTAAATACAATTAAGTGTCTCATCTTTATTTTGCCTGATGCGTCTGCTTAACATACTGTATATTTGACAATGTGAACATCACTATATTTAAATAAATAAATAAATAAATAATGGTTATTGAGCAACTATAAATACATTAGTGTCTCAAAAGGAATGAATTCGGCTAAGCCGTTTTTCAATTTATCCTCATTATAACATAAAAAAATACTCACAAAATAATTATTTTAAATTTTAAATTAAATCATTGTCTTAAAACAAGAACTTGCATAGCAGTCTTGACAAAATTATGAAAATTCAAATTATTAAGTTATGAATTCAACAATAATGGTGCTACGTAACTAAAACAACCCTGGAATTTTGAAGTTGTAAAAGTGTCGACTCTTAAATTTAGATTGTGTAAAGTTTTTTAGTAAGATATAGTGTAAATATTGTGGAATGTTAAACATTAAAATTAAAAAAAAATAAATAAATATTTTACCCTTTCCTGAATTTTATATTCATTTACATCTTATGCAAGAATTTTAAATCTTCTGAAGTTTCTCTTGGTTATATTTAATAAGAAAGTAGTAATAAACTATAGGTACTGTTGGTGTACTTTTTAGTGTCGTTTGTAAAATGTTGATGGGATCCTAAAGAATACATTAGCCATTAAGATTCTTAATGTCATGGCACGGAAGTAATCGTAGTCTATACGAATGGAAAATTTTTAAATATGAAGGATTATTGTTCCATCCATACCTAGCTCTATAAATAAGATGTAATTACATCATACAATTAAACTATTATACCATATACTGCAGAAAAATAGCTCATGTAAGTTTATTTTTCTTTTATTTATTCATTCAATTATATTTGAATCATTCAGTTTTTCGTCACCAACCAATTATTGAACGAAGCCCGACGTTTTCTATCATAATTAATTCACACACCGTTTTGATCGGCTTTGGCAAATCTAAAAATAATAAATATAGGGGGTTCCGAAAACTTTTCTTAAATTTATAGGAGGTTTTGCCTTTACTGAACTTACATTGTAGATGGATTAACTGTAGTCATAGTAAACTTCATTTTTCTAATATAGGGAGTGTCGTAACTACCCGTTTTCTTTTATTTTTTTTCAACTTGTCAGTTGGTCAACCGTTTATTTAAAAATTAATTACTCCATTCTAATTAATTACCGTTTTTTTTAAATTATTTTGACCAGAATATTTAATTTAATTTTGTTTATTGGGAAAATATACTTTTTATATACCGTATTGTACATAATTTCCGATTTAAATATTTTTCCAGTACTAGTAATAGGTAATATGTACTTTAATTTCATTTAGTGGAAATTTTAGTCTTATTATTAAGTTTATTTAAAATTTATTTTCTATTTATATATTATAATTTTGATTTCATTTATTTTTTTTACATTAAAATTACCGTCATATTTAATCAATTTTTATTACTAAAAATTAATTTTCCGTATACAGGGAGTTTCCTAATTCTCGGACCGATTAGCCTCCTGTGCTATCGAACTGCAATTATTTCCCAATAGTTTTTTTTTCTAGTTTTCAATTGTAATAATTTATTTTTAATCAATTTTCCGCTTACAGGGAACCATAAATATTTAACTAGTTCTCAATTGTAATAATTTATTTTTAATAAATTTTCCGTATACAGGGAATCATGAATATTTGACTAGTTTTCAACTGTCCTAATTTATTTTTAATTATTTTTCTGTATATAGGAAACCGTAATTACTTTGATGTAATCTCATTCAATTGTAATTGTTCATTTTATTTAATTTTCCGTTAACAGCCGTGCCAAAACCGTGCATGCACTACCACCGATGTATTTTTTTTTGTAAATATATATTTTATTATCTATTCCTGCGTTTCTCTTATTGCTGGTTCTTAACCGTTATCTTTCAGGGTACTGTAGGGTACGAGGTGTAAATAACGAGATAAATGTTTTATTTTTATTTATTCTAGTTTAGTGGCTACCTAGTTAGCAGTGACCGCCTGGAGATATTTTTTTTAACTCCACTGAGTTTACCTTGAGTACACTCTAGTGTACTACAGGGTCGCAGAGCAAACTGTGTTGCCAAAACTGGCGCCTGAACAACCCCTATTCGGGAATCACCATCTTAGCGCCACACAGACTCGCTGATTCACTGTAGGTGAACCAGAAGCCTGTCACAATATCAAAAATGAAAATAAATGCATTCCTCAGCAGCACTATTCTTAATATATTCCATGAATTTAAGCTCTTAATGTCTTGTTGATGATTTTTTAACTTTCTCCAAAATTATTGGCTAAAACGCCTCGTTAAGTACTATCTTTTGGTGTAAACTGGTGTAAATCATTTCAGGAAACGAATGATGACTGAGAGTGCACGATACGATAGTTATAGTCGCGTTACAACAGAAGGCAGCAACGAGGCGTTTTAGCCACAAATTTTGGCGAATTTTAAAAAATCATTAACAAGACATTAAGAGCTCAAATTTCGGGATTATATTAAGAATAGTGCTGTTGGGGAATGCATTTATTTTCATGATATTTCAAAATTTAAAGCTCTTTGATTTTTTTCTCGGAAACTGGAAGGAATTAAAACTTTAAAATATATGCATATTCTAGATATTATTGCCTAATACATTTTGCCAAAATGTTAATTTTTTAAAAAAAAAATACTTTTTGAGATATCCTTGTCCGAAATTTATAAGGGAGTGCTGTAATCACCTTAAGTGTACAAACCTTTGTCTTTTATTAATCAATATGGGCCACTCTTAATTAATTAATAAAGAGAACCTGCTATTTCTTAAATATAATGTAACGATTTTATATAATTAAAATCAATAATTTCCCCATGAGTTTCGACAATTTTAATAAGATTATCCCAGTTATTCCAAGCCAACTTAAGAATGTGACATGCATCTAAAATTATAAAAATTTTACTTTTATCTATGCAGTTTCAATATCCAAGTTGTATAGGTTTATACCTAGTTTGTTATCAATGTAAGTTCATCGAATGATAATGAGGTGATGATAACTCCATATTCATGCAATTTTAGAAGAGCCTCCAATGCCACATTCCTCTTTCATTACCATCTAAACCCTTAATAAAAAATAACCAACTGGCAACTTCTAATTCCTCCTTCTAAGGATTAATAATATTCTTTGAAGTTAAAGGTTGTAAATTTCTAAAAATAATAAGGATGATTAACAATTTTTTTATCACTTTCTTAAAATTATAAAAAGAAACAAATTGATAATTTTTGGATAGATATTTACCTCATAACACTAATGTTATAAAAATCTCCAATTTTAGGCAGATTTATGGAAGGTGTTGCATTATTTTTTTATTTTATCTATTCGTTTTGAAACGATTAAATCATCTTTATGAAAATGGGAGGAACAAATAGCATTATTTGCACTTATATTTTCCAATGATTTCGACCAATAGCTATTAACCAAGAAGCATACGCTTTTTCCTCAATCTAAAAAATTTATAACAATATCAACGTTACATACAGTTTGTTATTTTACTACGATATTTCGTTTTCTAGAAAATGAAAATATAGTCTAAAAAAATGTGATAAAGAATACGGTTCTGGTAGAAAAGATGTCTTACTTGTGAAATGTAATGTTTCCTGAATCCTCGTTGTTTAAACAACCAAAAACAAAGCACGTCTTTCCCATTTTATTAATTGTCTATAGTAAAAACTTCTAAAATTCTTTTAAATTCTCTAAAATAGTGAATTTCAAAAAAACCAAGATGAGTTGACATAAATGACATTTTTGCGCAACACTACAGCAACTGCGCATGTGCGTGGTACGTTTAAATTGCAAACATGGTATGCTTATTTTGAAACACCGGAGAAAATGGCCTTTTCCTATCTCCTCTATCCAAATATGTGGTATTGCTCTATATTTTGGATATCGTCGTTGATACTTCAATTAGTCGTATGTCAAAAATGAACATTTATATTAAAAATTCATAATTTAAATTCACCATCCCTTAATCCTACAAAATCTAGTATGTCGCGAACCACTTCCAAGCGATCTACGTGATTTATTAAAAAAGGTTGTAAAAAAATATATTGTTTTTTTGCTCTCCTGAAAAGTAGCTATTTAACATACGACATTTTGCAGTATTAACGAGGATAAACAGTGCTGCCAATATTAAACCTTCGGTCCCACTTTGCTTGTGTTGGAGTGAATAATAAATGGAGTTAGTACATGCAAGAGGAAAATATGTGACATAGAAGTTGCCAGGTATCGGTTGGTAGCAGGTTACCGATCCGTGACTCCAACTGTTAATGGCGCCATTGATAATGTGTCATTTCTTGCATGTGTTGACGCCATTTCATATTTAATCCAACACAAGCAAAACAGGACTAAAGGTTTGATCTTGCCAGTACTCTACATAGATGCCTAGTATTTTTACTCTAATTTATTTACTTAGTATTGACATAAAAACATTATATTCGCTCTTTAAAAGTATCTTAACAAGTATCCGAAAAAATGATTAGGATACTTGTATACGCGTATATTTTTATACCAACGTACCCGTACTTATTTAAAAAGTATTCGTTTTCGGTACTCGGAAACTTATTTCCCGTATCCGATTCAACTCTGGTACAATCTTACCACATCTAGATCTGAACATCTCGCATGGTGGCTAAAAATAACAATGGATTGAGGAGTAGGTACAAAAAAAAGATTTAGTAACAGAGCGAAGCAAGACTGTAATTACTGTTCTTTAAAACGCAATAATATATGCATTAAATGCAGTTATTTCTGTTAAAAATAAATTCTATACTAATTATTTAAGAAATTTAGAAGTTATAATCTTACAATGGTTTTATCTTCTTCAAAAGTCATCCATCTTTCTGCTGGAAACAAGTTAGCGATTTTCGAAGTAGGGGTCAGATATCTTACAATTGGTGCATGTCTTTCTGTTTGCATAGACCATATTAGCTTAGTTTTTTTAACAACTCCAGGTATATTGTACAAACTCTTAATTGGATGTTTATATCGCAAGTCTGTAATAATGTCACCATAATATCCTCTGGCGGGAAGGATGAACTTCGTTTTTCTCTTCCTTAAACCTTCCCCAATCGTTTTATGTTTCGCATTATCCCCATCCATTTTAGTTAAAATCTGTCACTTGGACAAAATGTCAAAAATGTGACACAATTTTAACTTTTTAGTAGAAAACCATGACGATAGTGCCAAAAAATAAACTTCAAGTAGGCTTCTTCACTGAGGTAGCCATTTTGAATGAGGAAGAAATCGGCACAGGGGTGGGCACAGGGATTCTTATGTGCGAACTCGACACGTTACGTGTTGAATTGAGAGAGACATTACATAAGAATCGCAGTCTGTCGAACGAAGATAGGCGTCTCGGTATATTATGCCGTATTCAAAGATGGGAATCCCACTGCAGGACGGTATTTAAAAACTTTAATAGTATTTTGCGAGATTCTTACTTAAATAATGAGGGGTAACAGGCGAAGTTTCACCGCCAGATGGCACTACTGAAACCTGAGGTCAATATTAAACGCCACTTTCATGTGAATGATGTGCGTTTTTTAATTTTATGGTGTTTTATACTATATTGATATAGATTTGAGAACATTCCCAGACAACACACCAAATCCAAGAGCCCGTGAGAGCCAGACCTTCGGAATTTTATAAAAGTTGAGAGTTCTTCTGTGCATGTCCCCAATACAGGTAATAGTGATCCCCGCCCATGAAACCTGAGTAGTGGTGGCTTTGGCAGGTAACAGGTAGCAAAGGTGCATAAAATTCCACCTCAAATTTATTAATTTATAAAACTCAATTTTTTTATATTTTATTCGTAATAATATTAAAACTCGCATTGCTCATTGCCAGACACTTGATATGGTTACAACCCTCTGCCAGACACCCCTGAACTATTATAATTTGTAACTATACTTACGTTATATTATAAAAGCTAAATTTTATATATATTATTTGGACAACTATTAAATAATGTTTCCTTAATAGCCAGACAATTTCGAGGGTTATATCGTCCTGCCAGACGTATTAAATGTGTACAATAGTTATGAGTGAAAGGAGCATATTCAGCAACGGGTGTGAGTAAAATAGAGCGTGCAGTCTATTGCGCTAGTTCAGTGTGATGTAATTTTCGTTCCACTGACATTTAATTCTAACCAAACTTTTAACAAAAACATCAATAAATTTGACATATACGTTTTTACTGTTTTTATTTTATTTCAAAATATTGTTTACAGGTCATAAAAATAGTTTATAGGTATGTAATTGGTAACTAAACGATTGTATATTTGATACATGCTATCTACTTACTTTGAGAATATATTTATAAAATTGAAAAAACGATATAATTTAGGTAAACAAAACTAACAAAACGCACTCAAAAAATCTACTGTCACTTTAATTGTCAGTGGAACCATAATTACATCATGACTGAACTAGCGCATCGCGATCTTTTACTGCGCATCAGCTGCTCATTGTGTATTATGTAGTGCGCGGTTATGCTCATAGTAAACGTACATCAAACGTATATTAAACGTTGTATTATTTTTCTGTGTAATTTCTAACTCACAAAAAAAATATTCTTTCGTATAATAAACAATAAAATTTTGATGACTTTGAAATTTCAGTTGAATTGAATATAATAAACTTTATAAAATTTAAAAATAACATGAATTGAGTTACTATATTTTTGATATGATTGATATTTTATTATAAAATTTTACGGAATATTATTTTAAAAATTTATTATTCAAACTGTAATAATTTTATTCAATGAAATTTCTCAAAAAATTAGAAAAAATATTACTAAATAATTCGGAATAAACAACAGTAGATGCGCAGTAAAAGATCGCAATAGACTGCACGCTCTATTTCACTCGCACCCGTTGCTGCATATGCTGCTCTAACTCATAACCACAGCTTATACAATACAGCTAAAACACTCTCTTGGCGGCAACGGTTTGCGTCGATTTCGTCGCGCATCGCTTAAGCTCCGCCTTCGGAGAGAAAAGATTGTTTTGGCGTTCAGAAGTGTACTTAGGTAAGGTGTTGAGTCGTGCGTATAATTTCGTTGATTGTATAATTTCGTGGAGCCTATAATTTCATTGATTTTGTTTGAGTTAAAGGTACTGTTATTATTTTGGTGACTCTTTAGCTGTGAGTAGAATGAGTGAAAAAAAAGACATCATTCTGTTTGTGCAGTCAAAAGCTGTTTTAATAAGGGTTATACCTGCAAGAAAACATTCTTTAGTTTTCCCAAGGACCCAAACCGATAAGTAACACATTATAAGAAATTTTCATTGTCAAAAATATAATTTATACAGGGTGTCCCATTAGTGCGTTATTGTTCATTATTTTGTTGTAGACACGCAAAAAAGTTTTAAATAAAAGTTATATGGATTTGAAAAATACCTACATATTTTAAAAATATCTTTGGATATACAGGGTGTCACGTTTTTGCCTGGCAAATTAAAATGTATGTTTTTTAAATGGAACACCTTGTATTTTATTTTATGATGAAATTATTAACACCCTAAATTATTGTAAAGACGAGTTGCTACAGAAAAAATTTAACAGGTATGTGTGTGGTTACCTTTTACTAAAAGCCTTGCGGATCCACTCCTGTGATACCTGTCTTAAATATAACAAAGATCACGTTGAATTAGATGATTTTTCTTTTTATTGCTTTTTAAAGGCATATGATAAAGCCAATTCAGATACATTTGGAAATCTGCAACTGTCAAATGATGAATTTGTAGAACTAATATTCAATATTGAAAAGATATTTCAAAATAATTTTGAAAAATTGGCTACAAAAAATAACATTTGTACCACACTTTTAGAATTAATTAACCCAATACCCTTTAGTCATCCATGCTAACGTTTTCCAAAAGAATAACCTATTTTAATGTATGTTTAATGTCAATAACTAAAAAATATACTGACAATTAGTTTGACAGAATTGTCATTTATTTAAAATTTTAAAAATAATAGCAGTCGGTTGATCAAAATATGAACGGTGATTGGAGAATTTTTTTTTGCAGTGTTCTCACTACCTAGAATGGATATGAAATATATTCGTTCAATTGAAGGCAATAGCATACTTCTTCGTTTTGTAATCTGTGCATGGATATTAGCCAATCTATGCACATGCTACAAAACAAAAAAGTATGCTATTGCGTTCAACTACAAATATATTTCATATCCATTTTAGGTAGTGAGAACACTTTAACAAAATGAAATCTACATATCACGTTCATATTTTGGTCACCCAACTCCTATTATTTAAAAATTTTTAAATAAGTGACAATTCTGTTAAACTAATTGTTAATATATATTTTAGTTATTGATATTAAATATACATTAAAATTTTTGTGTAGACTCGATAAATAATAGCATTTTTGTTTTTATTGTGTCCACATTTAAAAAAAAATTTTAATCAAACTACATGATACTAATTTAATTACGAGTATTAAAATTAAAGTCCTGAAAGTTTCGGTGAAGATGAGGACAGAGCATCTGCCTTCCACGCGAAAAGCCCGGGATCGAATCTAGGCCGAGGACTAATTAATTTTTCATGTTTATTTTATTTTATAAATTGGTCAACTTCGTAAATTATTTTAAAATTAGTTATTTTGTCTAAATAACCTAAAATATTTTTTTAAATTTGTAGATTTTCGTTAGTGGGTCGTAGAAAAAATATACTGACCATATCGAGTGGATTGTTCATATCACAATCAGACGATTGAGTACTCCGCCTACGACGTCGTGCTCAAACTTCGTCTTTGTGTGATATGGCTATCATATCCACCCTTGTTGAACTAACTACTATTCATTTGTTTTCTTGGTTTAAGTTTTATATCAGAAATAAGAACTAAATTAATTTACTTTTCAAGTTTTCTTGTAAAAATCGATATTACTTTCTCCAAGTACAAATTTAGTACCTACCTAAAATAAGTACTACTTATGTAATTTCGTGTAATATTGTAATTCAAATTTCACATTACTATAAAGTTACAAAATTCCCTACTTCGGTATGGTCAGATAAAAATTGAATATATTACGAGTATATTAATAAAAACTGTCAAAGTATTACTTCTACAAATCTGTATTTCAATTAATAAGAATACATCTAAATATAACCAATATTGTTAAAATAAAAGCACAAATTCTTTATAATTCCAAAATACCATAGAGTTCCCAGACCTTAGTCGAAGCATTCGTTTATCTAGGTATAAACCCTTTGCGCGAAGAGTAACACTTGCCAGACACACGGGTTACCACTTGATTTGCATCCACGAGCGTGACAAAATTCTTTAACAATTGAAGCCCTTGGTGTAAAAAGGATCCAAGCCACAATTTGTCGTGAAGTGACTGTTTTAGCTCAAAACATTTGTTAACGAGGATTTTACTAGCCACATACAAATTATTTTACCTCTAAAAGATGTGCTATTTTTCGTAATATTTATATTTAAATAATTTTTTTAATTATATTTGACAGATTTAAAACAAATTAAAAATTTAATTTCCCAAAACTTACTTAATATTGCATGTAACCAACCTTATTACACCAAGGTTTTCAATTTTTTCAATAATAAAAAAATTGTTTAATCCGGGCCCGACTTTTCCCTCGAATCTAACAGAGATAGCACTATTCCGTCTTGCTTGGTTCTCGACCGCCAGATCAAAGACGCCGACACGGAGTTGTGGAGCTGTATTGTATAAGCTGTGTCCTAACTATTGTACACATTTAATACGTCTGGCAGGACGATATAACCCTCAAAATTGTCTGGCTATTAAGGAAACATTATTTAATAGTTGTCCAAATAATATATATAAAATTTAGCTTTTATAATATAACGTAAGTATAGTTACAAATTATAATAGTTCAGGGGTGTCTGGCAGAGGGATGTAACCATATAAAGTGTCTGGCAATGAGCAACGCGAGTTTTAATATTATTACGAATAAAATATAAAAAAATTGAGTTTTATAAATTAATAAAATTGAGGTGGAATTTTATGCACCTTTGCTACCTGTTACCTGCCAAAGCCACCACTACTCAGGTTTCATGGGCGGGGATCATTCATACCTGTATTGGGGACATACA